TCCCTGCTGCTTTTCTTTCTCCATAGCACCCTCTCCTGGTCCCAACCCAATCCCTGAGCCTGCCACAGCAGGGAACAGATGCCCATCAGCCAGTCCTGAGTTGCTGTGGTGAGAGAGGACTGGAAGGAGTCCTCTCTTCTTGGGGCAGCCTGCATCTCAAATCTCTCATCCCAGCCTCCCCAAAGCAGACCCCCCTCCAGCCCTTTGCCCCCCCCCACACCACTCCCCTGCCATACCCCTTCCACGTGCATAATGAATTTTGTTATGCGCACCAATATGGGTGTGATGCACAGGACAAAATTCATTCTGCATATGGATAAAAACTATTAGAGAGAACACTGCTTTCTGCCCCTTCCCCCATGCCTAAGGCAGGAGGGGGCAGGGAGGGGTGGGAGGAATCTCAGGGAAGGGGTAGAACCAAAAAGTCAGCGCCTGTGAGTGCAGGGTTATAGAGGAAAGTCCTGATGCGCACCAATATGGGTGTGATGCACAGGACAAAATTCATTCTGCATATGGATAAAAACTATTAGAGAGAACACTGCTTTCTGCCCCTTCCCCCATGCCTAAGGCAGGAGGGGGCAGGGAGGGGTGGGAGGAATCTCAGGGAAGGGGTAGAACCAAAAAGTCAGCGCCTGTGAGTGCAGGGTTATAGAGGAAAGTCCTGCTCAGAGGAGGAGGGGTTTGTCCTAGGGCGCGGGGGGGGGGGGGGAGGGGGAGGAGAAGAGAGAGAGACACCCACCCCCAAGAACAGAGGCAGGAAATCCAAAAAGTCAAATGCACAGGGCAGGGCCGGATTAAAACATGCTGAGGCCTTGAGCTATGTCAAGTTTAAGAGGCCCCACAGCATTACCAAAAAGGCGTCGTCTTCTACCAGAAAGGACAATGTACATAGAACTAATACATGTTTGTATTTGCATCTATTCCAGTATATAGGTGAGAAGGCAACTAAAAACTAGTAATTTTTTGTATCTGAGAGGCCTCCCTTCATCTGAGTCTCTGAACTGCAGCGTATTTAGCTTGTGCATAAACCCAGCACTGGCCTGGGGTGGGGGAGCAGTTCTTGGTGATTTCTACTGGTCTCAGCTCTCTCCCTGGTGGCCAAATTTGGGCATTGCCTGGTGGGGAACTTGGAGTGCAGGGAGCTACATGGTTTCCCGTGGTCTCCTCTGGAAGATGACCCGGCCCCAGGCTGGGGGTGCCTCAAGCAGCTGTGGCCAACCCCTCCTTCCCCTCACCAGCATTTGGGGTTGGAGGAGCCATGCAGGAGGGCAGAGGAATCTTCTCTACTCACCATCCGCATTCGGGAAGCTGTCGATGCCGCTCAGGGAAATGGACTTGGAGAGGGCGCTGGAGGCAGGGTGCTGCCCGGTCCGATACGCTTGCAGCCTCCTGGCATCTTCCTGGGGACAAGCACAGGGAATCAGGGCTGTGCACCCTAGGGGTAGAGCTGCCCCCCTAGGGGGCTGGCTTGGGGCAAATGCTCCAAACTAGTGGGATTCCCACTGCTTCCAGCAGCACCTGCCCCTATGGAGTAGGGTGTCCGACATGCCCCCTCACCACTGGAATGTGGGTCCCCAAAGCCTTGGCTGGGCCCCCCCCCCTTAGTCCCCAGACAGGGAATCAGGGCTGTGCACCCTAGGGGTAGAGCTGCCCCCCTAGGGGGCTGGCTTGGGGCAAATGCTCCAAACTAGTGGGATTCCCACTGCTTCCAGCAGCACCTGCCCCTATGGAGTAGGGTGTCCGACATGCCCCCTCACCACTGGAATGTGGGTCCCCAAAGCCTTGGCTGGGCCCCCCCCCCTTAGTCCCCAGGCAATGAGGCAGTGAAGAGTCCTGCCTCTCCAGGTGATCTTGCTTGGTGAGCTCTGCAGATCACTTTGCCCACCACTAAAATGCAGCCACCTCTGGGGCAGAACCCCCCAGCAGCAGCCAAAGCAGGAGAGAGGATTGAAGAAGCTGCCGGCACATCCCAGAAGGTTTTCCACTGTCCAGAGCTCCGCTCCCCTTTTCCGTTGCCCAGCCCCATCACACACTGGCCTCCATAGCAAGTCACATCAGAAAGGCATTCGGTGTGTTGTTCAGTGCCTTTGCTACACTGAAAGTTTGTCTTTTGGGGGGGGCAGAAAGTCCATGATGAGGAAAGGGAATGCAGTCCCAGGAGGCCAGCAAGCACTCCTGGCACTGAACCCAAGGACACTTGGCTACTGCTAGCCAACCCTGCGCAAGTCAATGCCCTGCTCTGTGCCTCAGTTTCCCCTCCCACACATTTTGTGTTTAGGCTGTCAGTTCTTTGGAGCAGCGACTGTCTCTTACTAGCATATGTCCAGCACCTGCTGAGGAAAGGGAATGCAGTCCCAGGAGGCCAGCAAGCACTCCTGGCACTGAACCCAAGGACACTTGGCTACTGCTAGCCAACCCTGCGCAAGTCAATGCCCTGCTCTGTGCCTCAGTTTCCCCTCCCACACATTTTGTGTTTAGGCTGTCAGTTCTTTGGAGCAGCGACTGTCTCTTACTAGCATATGTCCAGCACCTGCTGCGACAAGGTCTGCTCTAGGCCCTACCAAAACACAGGGGCTACATTACACTACATGTTTCTTGCACAAGAAGCCTTTTGCGCAAGAGTTTTTGCTCAAAAACTTCTTGCACAAGAGCACGTCCACACCTCAAAGCACATCGCAAAAGCCATGTGCTTTTGCGCAAGAGAGCATCCACACTGCATGGACGCTCTTGCTCAAGAAAGCTCTGATGGCCATTCACAGAATGGCTATCAGAACACCTGTGCTTTTTCCCCATAGGGGTTTCTTGCACAAACCTCTGGAGCATCCACACACGCCTTTTTGCGCAATAGCTGTAGGGCAAAAAGGAGTTATGCCTCACAGAAGGAGGTTTAGCTACACCGGCAAAAGCCCTCTGTTCTGCCGTTTAACTGTTGATTTACTTGCGCAAAAGTGCATTTGAGGTGTGGACGCTCCACGGGTGTAGACGTAGCCAGAGACTAGTTGTCAGATAGTAGAATCGGCCCAGGGTGGAATTTAGCCAGGAAATGAAGGGTTCACACCCCTGGCATTTGTTAAAGCATCAGCTGGAATCCTCGGCCCTGATCTAGTGTCCACAATTGCAGCAGGGTTCAGAGAAGAGGCAGGAGGTGATGAAGGGACCAGAGAACACACCCAACAGGGGCATGCACAAAACAGCTCAATCCCATTTAGCTTCACAAAGGGAAGGTGAAGGGGTCACTGGCTCCGGATCTGTAAGTCCACGCACGGAGAATTAACAGGCAAGAAAGGAGAATTTGAGCCAGTGGCTGGAAGCAGAAGTTAGTTAGAAAGAAGGTGCAAATTTTTCACAGGGCGGGTAATTAACCATCAAAACAGTTTACCAAAAAAAAAAAAAAAACACCAACAAATGGTCTGGTAGCACTTTATAGACTAAACAAAACATGTAGATGGTATCATGATCTGTGGCCACGAAAGCTCATGAGACCATCTACATGTTTTGTTAGTCTATAAAGTGCTACCAGACCATTTGTTGTTTTTTTCTGTACAGACTAACTCGGCTACCCCCTGAAGTTTACCAAGGGTTGTGCTGGGTTCTCCATCCCTGGAGACTTTTCAATCAAGATCAGCTGTTCCTCTCTGAAATCAAAGAGGGTACGTCTACACTTGCTCCCTATCTCGAGATAGGGAGCAAGTGTAGACGTACCCAGAGGTGCTAACCCTATGGCCTGTGCTGTACAGCACAGGCCATAGGGTTAGCACCTCTGGGTACGTCTACACTTGCTCCCTATCTCGAGATAGGGAGCAAGTGTAGACGTACCCAGAGGTGCTAACCCTATGGCCTGTGCTGTACAGCACAGGCCATAGGGTTAGCACCTCTGGGTACGTCTACACTTGCTCCCTATCTCGAGATAGGGAGCAAGTGTAGACGTACCCAGAGGTGCTAACCCTATGGCCTGTGCTGTACAGCACACCAGCCCTGAGGAGAGGCGGGGGGAAGAGGGAGATGCTCTCTGTGAATGGGGAGAATGGAGGGATAATGAGGGGAGATATTGAAATGGGGAAGGGGGGGAAGGAGTGTTCCCTGTCAGCTGTGCGCTTGTGTGGCCGCTCAGGAGAATTTCCAATGCCGTCCAGCTGATTAGCAGAACGCTCACAGGTAGGTTTGTGTTTCTGTTGGTGGTGCACGTACAAAAATGTCTTCCACTCATAGATGGAAAAGATTAGAGGGAACATTAGGTTCAGAAGAGGGCAACAAATGAGTAGCGGTTTGGAACGAGTCCCATGTGAAGAGAGATTTAAAAAGACTTGGCCTTTGGCTTAGAAAACAGGAGACTAAGGGGGGATATGACAGAGGTCTATAAAATCATGACTGGTGTGGAAAAAGTGAATAAGGAAAAGTTATTTACTTATTCTTACAATATAAAAACTAGGGGGGTCATCAAATGAAATTAATAGGCAGCAAGTTTGAAACAAACAAAAGGAAGATTTTCTTCACTCAGCGCAAAGTCAACCTGTGGAACTCCTTGCCAGAGGATATGGTGAAGACTAGAACTTTAACTAGGTTCACAAAAGAGCTAGATACATTCATGGAGATTAGGTCCATCAATGGCTATTAGCCAGGATGAGTAGGAATGTTGTCCCTAGCCTCTGTTTGTCTAGAAATGGCTGACGGGAGGGACCCCATGAGGATTCCCTGTTGTGTTCCCTCCCTCTGGAGCATCTGGTATTGGCCACTGTCAGGAGACAGGATGCTGGGCTGGTCGGACCTTTGATCTGACCCAGTATGGCCGTTCTTATTGATGGGAAAGCCCTGTGCTTCTCCCCACACCCTCGGTGGCTGGGGTCTGAGAGCCGAAGCCCCCTCCGCTCTGCCTGTCCTATCCTCCAGGCCTGGGAGAGCCTGGAAGGAGGGACAGGGCTGGGCCAGGACACCCTCCCTCCCTGCAGTCAGCCTGATCCCACACAAACACACTGATCACTCCAGTCCCTCCCTGGCACCTCACTTGTCTCCCTCCTCCCCCACCCCACAACAGGGGGGAGACAATGGGGAGGAAACATAGCGAAGTCGTGCCCTTGGAAAGTGGAAAATATTGGCTGGTCGCCAGAGAGATGTGCCCCGCCATCGCCTTCTGAGCACTTCCACTGTAGGGGCACTAGCCCTCTCATAGTGCAGTTCCCTCAGCCCAGAGTCAGACAGGACCATCGCATCCCAGCTGGCTTTACGATCTAGGAATGTAGAGACATGCGACCCGGGCGTCGCTGCCACAGGCCTTCACCATCAGCAGCCATTTCTCTTCCCCAAAAGAGGGGAAAAAAATTGCTTATCAAAGAGAACATGCCCCTGAACAGGAACTGCTCTGCCTTCCTCCTTCCCCTGCAGGCTGACAAAGGAAGCCACAGAGTCTGGCTGAGAGAACAGATGAGGACTGGAACAGAGAGCACTGGGCAGGGGCTGCCCGGCTGGGTTAGGAGTCTGTTGTGTTGTGAACTCCCTCCTGCCCACCCAGACTGCCCTACTGGGGCCATCTTGTTTTCTGTTCACCTCCCTACCCGACTGGCTTTGTCCATCTCAGCCAATATCCCCTCTCCCTCCAAAGTGCATCAGATTTCTGTTGGGTCTCCTCTCACCTTATATCAGACCATTGATCCATCCAAGCCAGTATCCCTGCCTATTCTGGCCAGTTCCAGAGGCTTCAAAAGAAAGGCATCTGGCCCTGCTGATACAATTGTTGCAGGCATGTGGTGGAGTGCAAGCAAAGCGATAATTCCTTCCTGATCCATGTCAGGTTGGGGACAAGGATCTGAAGCACGAGTGCTGGTAGCAATAAATTGCAGAAAGGGATCTGGGCGTCAGAGTGGACCGCAAGCTAAATGAGTGAACAGTGTGACGCTGTTGCAAAAAGCAAACCTCATTCTGGGATGTATTAGCAGGAGTGTTGTGAGCAAGACACAAGAAATCGTTCTTCTGCTTTCCTCCTCGCTGATTAGGCCTCAGCTGGAGTATGGTGTCCAGTTCTGGGCACCACATTTCAAGACAGATGTGTACAAATTAGAGAAAGTCCGAAGAAGAGCAACATACATGATTAAAGGTCTAGAAAACATGACCTGTGGGGGAAGGTTGAAGGAAGTGGATTTGTTTCATCTGGAGAAGAGAGGACTCAAAAGAGATGTGGTAACTGTTTTCAAGTACCTGAGAAGGTGTTACAAGGCGGAGAGGAAAAAAAAAATTCTCCTTGGCCTCTGAGGACGGGACAAGAAGCAATGGGCTTAAATTGTGGCAAGGGAGGTTTAAGTTGGACTTTAGGAAAAACTTCCTGTCAGGGTAGTGAAGCACTGGAATAAGCTGCCTAGGGAGGTTGTGGAATCTCCATTACTGGAGGTTTTTAAGGGCAGGTTGGACAAACCCCTGTTGGGGGTAGCCTGGATGGTGTTTGGTCCTGCCCTGAGGGCCAGGGACCTCATGAGGCCCCTTCCAGGTATATGATTAATTGCTGTCAACATACAGGTACAAGCAGGCAAGGAGGGGGAGGGGTACTGATCCTGTGAGGTGCAGAGCTCTCTTGCTGAAGCCAATGGGTGATGAGGACACTGAATAGCTGATGGGCAATGCTCAGCGCCTTCCAGGATCTGGCCCTCCAGATCCATTGGGCAAGTCCCCTATGGGTCAAGGGAGGAGGGGGAGATGCAGCCCCTACCTGAGCCCGCTCCAGGTCCTCCTCCTCCTCATCCTGCGACAGCAGGGATTCCAGCTCATCATTGCTACGGATGATGGGGGCCCGGCGGGGGTCCCTGCGGTGGCGGGAGAAATCATCCAGCTGCCCCGTGGTGGAGTCGAGCTCCTTCAAACTCACGCTGAAAGAGATGTGGGCAAGTCAAACTAAGAACTCCAAAGCCAGGGACTAGAAACCCCGACCAACACACACACTGGGACTGCTTCACCCTCTCCACCACAGCAGAGGGCACCTCGCATGCACCCCAGTTCTGGGTTCAGAACTCCCACCCCGGTTCCGACAGCGACTCCCCAGCTGTTGGACAAAGGGGTCCAACATATCTCCCCCCCCCCCCTAG